TGACGGCCAACTGATTAATTCTCATTGCCCAAAAAGAATTTGATTCTACCCCCCCCCGGGATTATCGACACCCCTTTTCGTATGCAATTTACATATGATTCTGCCCATCGTCCATCCGAAATAGGAACTCAGGCCGGTATCGACACCCCCCGTCATCTTCCTCCAAAACATTCTATGCGCGCGCAGTCGTTTATCAAACATCATCATCAATTTCCAAGAATACTTGGTCAAAAGCATGGGACGAAGTGCGCAAGCGCGCGTTGTCGCGCGCGCATGCCGACATCTTTCGAACACTTTAGGTTTCGTATGTCATAATCGAGTGTCGAATCAACATATAGGAACACGTTGTTTCGCAACGCGAAGTTTCAAAAAAAACATGCGCACGCGCTCTTGCGAATCTGGGATAACACCACCAGTTCTTCAACAGCTTGAAACAATACTACCAAACGGGCTTCGCTCGCGCGTGTCGAAATCGCTCGAACGCCCTTGCGCTCGTGTTGTCGCGAAAGTCCTTTGCAACAGATGGGACGAAGTGCACGCCCGCGTCGTCGCGCGCGCATGCCGAAGTCTTTCAGAAGCCTTAGGCTTCGTAAGGGATTCAATATTGAATGTCCAAAAACATGTCAACCACATGGTTTCGCAACATCAGTTTTCAGGAACGCTTGCACGCTCTTGCGAATATTCAAGAAACCCAGTTTTTCCTTTCATCTTCATCGAATTCTACCGAACGGACCTCTCGCGCCGCATGCCAACATCATTCGAACGCCCTTGTGCGCGTGTTGTGGGAGCACGATCCGTGTCAAGTAATACCATGCGGGTCAGTCGTGCGCGTGGGCAGCGCGCGTATATCGAACTCCTTCCAAGACCTTCACCACCGACGCGAGGACGCCGTCATCGTTGTCGGCGTGATCAGCATCGGCGCCGTCACTGTCCGTGCCGTCGCCGCTGTCATCATCTTCGCCATCACCGCTACTAGCATCATCGTGTCTACCGTTGTTGACACTGCCATGATACCGCGCCGCCCAAGTCGCCGACTCGCAGTGCAGTGCCCGCTGGGATGTGCCCAGAGGTCAGCGCCACCGCGGCCGCGTCGGTCGCGCCAAACTTGCTGGCCGCCGCGCGCGCGAGCATGCGCGGGCTAGCGCGGCCGCAGAGATGCACCAGCCAACACCAAACACTCATCGCAGTCGCCGCCGCATGGGTTTTGCACTCCCAGTTGCGGGTGGGTGGGTGGGATGATAGCGCGAGCAGGTGAGTTGTCAAGTCACGACGAACAGCAATTCATGTTACCACGTAGCTTGATCCACGTAGTTTGCACCACCTACAGGCACCACAACAAGTAATGACGATCGACACCCCACGGGGGCCCTTGCATCCTTGCCTCTTTGGTCATCTTCGGTCCATTACCATTCACTTCCGATGGCCAGCCCCGCTCGCACGGGCGTCCAAGGCCTTTGCATCCATTCGCGCATCTCTATTATCAGCTCTTTTGTAGCTTGCACCGCGTAGATTGCATCACGCAGCTTGCGCCACGTAGCTTGCGCCACATAGCTTGCGCCACATAGCTTGCGCCGAATAGCTGGCGCGACGTGTATTGCGCAAGGAAGGTTGCACCATATAGTTTGCGCCGCGCATGTTGCGCCACATGGCTTGCGCCACATAGCTTACACCACGCTGTTGTTCAACGTAGCGCGCACATCCACAGTGCAATGACTTACTGTACTGTTGTGGGCCCGCGCTGCGCTGGCTGGTGGTTGGTTGAGCGTGCTGGGTTTTCAGCTGGACCCCGGTTGGTGGGCGCCACTGGGCGCCTCTTGGGCGCCTCGTGTTGGGTGGGTGTGCCTTGGTTTCGCCTGGTTTCCCGCCCGTGGGCGCCTCGTGGGCGCCTCGCGCGCTGGGTGGGTGTGCCGAGGTTTCGCATGGTGCCCGGCCGTGGGCGCCTCGTGGCGCCCCCCGGTGCCCGCAGGGCAGCCATCCGTAGCCGTTTTGGCTCGAGAGCGGGGTCGGGGGGCGCCTTGGGCGCTGCGGGCCTCCCGCTTGCGCCCTCGCGTGTTCCTGGCGCGAGCCGTTGGCCAGTGCATGCGGCATGGGGGTGGCCCCTGGCATGGCCTGCCGTCGCCTGCCCCCGGACGTCGCCAAGGGGGCGAAGGGCCTAGCAGCTCCCGCTCTCCTCGTTGCGGCTCTGCTGTCGCTCCTCTACCTGGTGGCCAGGTATCTGAACACGTACCAGGCTTGGTCTGTCCTGTGGATGGCGGGGTGGTTCGTGGGCGTGTGGGCGGCCTTCGTGGCCGCGCGGGCCGTGCGGGATCTCGTCGGCCTGGGTGGCTGGAGGGGCGCTGGACTGCGCAGGAGGCTGCGGCTCTGGGTGTACATGGCGGGGATGGCAGGCACGAGGAGCACCGGAGAGGTGGTGGACCTCGTGGTCACGTGTCTGTCGCTGGCCTCGTGCGCCATGTACGTCCTCGAGACCTACATGCCCTACCTCGCGATAGACACCGGCTGGCTGGTGGCGGAGGCGGCAGTGTCCGTGGTGCTCTTGGTAGACTACCTCTTCCGCTTCTTTCTAGCCGCTGACGGCTTGAGGTACGTGTTCTCGTTTGTCAGTGTCGTCAACGTCCTGACCATCGCGCCCGTGCTGGCCAACACGTGGTACCATCTCAGCACGCCCGGGTCCAGCACTTGCGGGGGGACCGCCACCGCGGATTCCCCCGCGGAACTCACCTATTTCAGGCTCCTGAGGATGCTCCGGGTCCTCAGAGTACTCAGAGCGCTCAACCTTTTGAGGAGCGCGCCCACAGAAGACCTGAGGCGCGAGGTGTTCACGCTGGTGTTTATATAAGGGGCGGCGCCATATGCCGTCCGCCCTCCAGGTCAGCTTCGGGCTATCATGGAGGCATATTTGGGCTCTCTTTTGAGATCGTTGGGCTATCTGGGGGCCTGGGGGCATGTTTGTTTGGGGCCTTTGGAGGCTACGCTTGGGCAAGCTTGGGCAATCGAGGGGCGATCTCGAGGTGTCTGGAAGCGACCTTGGAGCCTCCTGGCATCTTGGTTGGGGGCATGCTGGGGCTTCGCCATCTTCGGTGCCCTTGGCCTTGTGGAGAAGTATTGAGACCATCTTGGTAAACCTAGGCGGCCTTGGGGCCCTCTGGGGCTGTCTTGTGGTAATGCTTGGAACATGTTGGGGCTCCCTCCTTGGCCTCTGAGGCTCTGAGGGCTGTCCCCAGGCCTTATGAGCTGCTTTAGCTGTATGCTGCTGTCCTTCAGGAGGGGGAAAAACATATAGACACAATTAATCGTCAATCCTCTGAAAATGTGCAAAAATATGGGAAGTGGGGGGGAAGACGAACATCCAAAAAATATGGAAAAGTATGGGGAATCCTGTTATTTGTGCGTATTTATTTGGGTGTCTCAGGGCCCCTTCAGTCTTTGCGGGTATCCTGAAGAAATTTGGGGCGGCTGGGAGCTTGGCTCACAACCCCCCCCTGGTGGCTTTGGTTTTTGCGCCGTGTGCCCACGTAGTAGGCAGCAGCAAGCAGACAGGATTAGAGAGACAGGAAGCAGGAGGAAGGAGACAGGACAGGACAGAGAAGACAAGAGATATCAGCAAGACAGAAGCTCAGCAATGTCTCTCTCAGCCTGGTGCCCCAGGGTGGACTGGCGGACTTCCGTGGGCATTGTGTTCGCGTCTGCTGGCTTGTACCAATGGCTGACGAACAGCGACCGTTGCTTCAGCTGTAGTTACAGAAACACCATGTCAGACGAGAGTTACGACGACTACGTGGAGGTTGATGAATGCGTGCACTTCCACTGGGCTTTGTACTGGTGCACAATATCTGCCCTGAACCGGCCACGCTTGGAAATGAACAATGACCTCACCGTCTTGATGGTGATTTTCCTGGTCGCCATCACATGCGTCGTGATCCCCCTCCAGCTAAGCAAGATCTATACAGTGATGCAGCAAGGCAGCAAGTCTCAACGGGCAGAGTACATTCCTAGCTCAAGTGAGGCAAGGCACGTCGTGTTCACGGGTCACTTGGAGCTCGCGGCGCTGAACATGCTGTTGTACGAGTTTTTCCATCCAGATCGCTTCGAGCAGGCAGTGCAGGACCTTTGTGGGCCCCGGAAACGGCAGGGCCGTTTTTTCACCGTTTCCCAAAAAATGTCTTTTGAAAATGGAAACGGCAAAAAAACGGCGACCAGAAACTGCAAAAAAACGGCTCCAGGATTGGAACCGGCGTCGGAACCGATCAAAAATCGGCAAAACGGAACCGGTAAGAAAACGGTCCTGTCGTTTCCAGGGCCCACTAAGTGCAGGACGTCGTTCTGCTCTTCCCGAACAGCCTCGACCACGGCGTGGAGGTGCTCCTGTCTCACCCGGAGTACGTGGGCCACGTGACCTACGTGCAGGGCTCCCCCCTGCGAGAGAGCGACCTGGTTCGGGCGGGGCTCCACGCGGCGACGGGCGTCATCCTGCTGTCCAACAAGGATCCGCTCCTCGTTCCCCTTCTCCTCCTCCCCTCCTCCTTCCCCTCCTCCCCCTCGTTCCCCTCCTCCTCCCCTCCAGCGGGGCCAGGACGAGGAGAAGTCCGTTCCGCAGCGTCCCGGAACGGTCTCCTGGGTATCGTTCGGACGTTTGCACTTTTTCTTGGCGGGGATTATTAAGGGGAGCATCCTGGACCATCCTGGGAAGAACACGCACGAAAAAGGAAAAAGCACAGGGAGTGGACTTCCGAGCGATGGCCAGTTTCAGAGCGTTCCAGATTGCTCTGAGAAGGCCGCGGCGCCCGAGGCGTCCTCCAGAGCCGCCGCAGTTCAGAGATTCTCGATTTACCCTCGCCCGATGGTGTCCTCGTCCTGGCGCCGTCTTACAGGAGGCCGCGGATCCCAGCTGGCACGACTCCGAGCTGGTGGCCTGTGCGCAGTCCATGAAGGCTCTGTGGCTGAAGCTGGAGTCGAGGCGACCGCGCGAGGATCTACAATCCGTGCTCAGCCGGTACAGCCGCCCGCGCATCTCGGCCACGCGCAGGGGAGGGCAGCGGGAGGGGGGAAGGCTAGGACCGGAGGCTGCCAGCAGGGTTCGTTGGACAAGGTTGGTTTCGCTGGACTCGAGGTCCTCCCAGCCTGACCTTAGGCACTCCAGCACGACCTGAGGCGCCCCAGCAGCCGTCGTAATCACCCTTCTTGAACCAGACCTTCTCGCCGCCCTCGATGGGAGCATCCCTGCTTCTCAGAAGGCGCGGGCCTTGTCTGTAGATGCAGGGCCGGCGCCTTCTGAGAAGCAGGGGTGCTTAATCAGGGCTAGGATCGGGATAAATCGCTCCAGAGCGTTCCGGAGCGCTCTCAGAGCGTTCTGGAACGCTCTGGAGCGGCCGCGGCGCCCACTACATCCTCCAAACCCGCCGATTCTCAGATTCTCATCCCGATCCGATTTTGTCCCGATCTTCGCGTCGTTTTAGGTGCTTCTAAGAAGCCTTCCTCCCTCCCCCACCCCCTCGTGCGCGCGGCCCGCGCGTCGTGGTGCAAGTGCTAATGCCGGAGACGAAGCAGTATCTCGTGGAGCTGCCAGGCTGGACCAGGGAGGACTTCAGGAGGGGAAAAAACACAGACACAAATAATCGTCGACGCCCAGGAAAATATGGGAAGGGGGGAAGACAGAAACCCAGAAGATATGGAAAAATATAGGGAATCTGTTTATTTGTGTGTGTATTTATTTGTGTGTCCTGGGGCCCCTTCAGGACTCGAAGCACAGACAATCGCACGAAGCTTAACTTCTCGGGGGTGCGCGCGGGACTTCCTGGATCGACGCTGGAGCCCCCGTCGCGGCGCCTCCGTCGCCGATCCACTCAGGAGGGGAAAAAAGCACACAGACACAATTCATCGACGATCCCCAGGAAAATATGAGAAAATATGGGAAGTGGGGGGGAAAGACAAAAGCCTAGAAAATATCAGGAAATATGGGGAATCGTTTTATTTGTGTGTGTGTGTATTCATTTGTGTGTCCTGGGGCCCCTTTATCCACGAGATCCGCGCGGACCCCAGTGAAGTCATGCTCACGCAGTCTTGTGTTCGTCTGAGGACGTGGTCATTGTCTGCAGCGAGTACGTGTCCTGGATGCTCGGGATGGCAACGCTGGCCAGGTCGGAAACTGGAACATCTACAGTACCAGTGGCGGGCTGTCTTTCAATCCCAGGACTCTCTGAGGGTCGCGGACGACGTCGGGGTGGTGCGGTGTCTACTTTTTCCCCCGCTTCCTGGGGAAGCAGCGAACAAAATTTCACACCAGGATCCCGCATACGCCAGGACCCGCTTTCCTGGGCAAATTCCAGTGCAGGGCCGCAACAAAAGCGTCGGTGGGTAGAGCTGGGTTCCCATCCCAGGGGCATGGCCACCGTGGTCTTCAACCTGACGAGCCACAGCGAGCGCCGCGAGCACCCCCCCGGGAGCTGGCACCAGCAGTACGAGGAGGGCGCCCACCAGGGCCTGTACTCCGTGAAGGTCCGACCGGGCCACGTGGTCGGGCTCGATTTGATGGCGGCCGCCCAGCGAAGAAGACCAAACGGCACTGCACGGGTGATCGCTTTCTTCCGAGCATTTTCTTTGGGTGGAGGGGAAGGGGTGAAATTTGAAATGCCGTTTCGATGGAGTTTCGATATTTGGATCTGCAAAGGGTGAATCACAATTTCGAGGTGCAGAAGCCCATATGGATTTCGCCCTGAGCCCTCCACCCTGAGAAAATGCTCAGTTCTTGTTCGTTGTTTTTCCGATCGACGCGGGCCCTCGCCCCCCCCCCTCCTCCCCCCCGTGAAGCAGATCTTGGCTGTTTTTGGCGCCCGTTTCGAGCAGTTGGAGTCCCTCCCCCACGGGACGCGCTGCTGCAAGCAGGCGCACCATGAGCAGAGGTCCAGGGCCATACCCCCCCCACCCCCTTCCCCCTCCTCTTCCGCCCAAGGTCGAAACGCCGAAGAAGAGAGCGATGATTAAGCTTTCGGCACTCCGCGCGGATTTCTGGGATCTGCGCTGGCCCCCCCTGGCGGCGCCTCTGGCGCCGCCCCTGGCGCGCTCCGCGCGCCAGGGAGGGGTGTCCAGCGCGGATCCAGGAACTCCGCGCGGAGTTCCGAAGCTCATGCCTGTGCTGTGTGTTCTTCCTCTCGCCCAGAAGCTGGCGTGCCACGACGTCCTCTTGATAGCCGTTGAGTCCCAAGACGGCGGCAGCCATTCGGGCTTCCACCTGTTCCCCGGCCCGCTGGGCTTCGAGCTGCGTGAGGGCGACCGCCTCGTCTGCGTGGCGCGCAGCAACCTGAGGCTGCACGCCGCGGTCGAGGAGCTCCTGCACGCCCGGTCGAGAAGCTCGCTCAGGATTGCGTCCGACCTGGCCACGAAGAGCAGCTCGCAGGTGGTCAGAGGAGGCAAAGGTACCGATACATCGCCAGCCTTCCCTCGTTTTGGCTTTTTCCAGCCTCCTGGGAGGCCCTCGCCGCCACGGCTGGCTTCGCCTCAAGCTTCTGGTCAGAGCGCACCGCGGGAGAGGTCCCGGCGGGTAGCGGTATCGGTAATTGCAGGGCTCGGCCTAAACGGTGTGTTGACGATGTTGTGGGCCGCAACGGCGGACCACGAACTCCAAGCGGAGAGAACGTCACAACATAACGACACTGAGTCTCAGTGCCTGAGAAGCACTGTTTATTGCCAGCCTGAAACACATCCCTGTCCCTGTGCCTGGCACTGCCTCATCTCGATGCCGATCTGAAGGATCATCTTGGTTTCTGAGGGCGCACCCCCAGGATCGTCGTCGCCTTTCGGCTTGCCAGTCTGGGGAGAGGGATGCACTGGAGCTTGGCTGGTTTAGGTCGAGCCCTGGGCAACTCGTCTTTGTCTTGGCATCGCTCGGACGTGCGCATTTTTCCTTCGGCGAGGCCCATCGAGGAGCATCGTTGATCACTTGGCGAAAAAGCCACGCACGAAACCGACAAAAAGCACAGGGAATGGACGTCCGAGCGATGGACCCCCGTCGGCCTCCTCCTTCCGCCTCTTGTTTTTCCCCTCCTCCTCCTCCTCCTCCTCCTCCTCCTCCTCCTCCTCCTCCTCCTCCTCCTCCTCCTCCTCCTCCCCCATCTCCTCCTCCTCCCCCATCTTCTCCTCCTCCTCCTCCTCCTCCTCCTCCTCCTCCTCCTCCTCCTCCTCTCGTCGCTGTGGGCTCTCCAGGTGGGGGAGCAGGTGGAGGTCCTGGGCGACCGCAGGAGCGGCGGGGGGACGGGTCGGACGCGGGATCGAGGAGTGAGGTCGGAGGGTCGAGGGTCGAGGAGCGAGGGAGGAGGAGGAGGAGGAGGAGGAGGA